AATTGGAAACACTTTACATGTGTATCAGCAGGCTATTGATTAAATAAATAAAGATGCACCTATGAAAGGAAATACTACGTAGATCTTTAAAACAGTGAGATGTAGTAAGATGCAGAATGATATTATGGTTTTAACTGGTATTTGGATAAATATGCACATCTATCATTTATTTTTCTACGCTTAGAGAAAAAAGCTTGAAAATACATACACCACATTTAACACCTATATCATGAGGGTTAGATGAACAGAAACGGAAACAGAAAATTTGATAAAGGTTTTGTTAAGTATTAGGGGGAAAATAGTTTTTGAAAAAAAAAACCCAACTTATTTGGCAGTAATACAAGACACTACATATGCTGGAAGGAAACAGAAAATCTGGTTTGGCTTGGTAACAGGGGTCAGAGAGTAATCTTCTAGTTCTGTTAATGTTTCTTCTGGTTAGAAGTGTGATTTTTTTCCTTTGTCAGAAAGCTTCATGGCTATATAAAAGATTTTTCAATTCTAGAGATATGGGAATGCTGGACCACAGCCCATGGAGTTATTATTTTTTATCTTTCTGTAAGAATATACAGTCTTAGAATTTTAAGGCAGTAAGGGCCTCAAGTCCCTTCTTGTCAATGCTCTCTTTTTTTTTTTTTTTTTTTAGTGATAAAAAGAAAGTTTTATCTATTTCATCCAGGAATATATGCTCTGTATCTTATACGTAATATTCCAGAGAAAAAGTTACCTATACCTGTTTTTTGAAGAATAGATATTCTTAATATCCACACCATTCAAGGACAATGTAAAAACAAAACAAAACCCCAAAAAACAAACCCCCAAAACCCAAAACCCCAATATTGTAGGTCAGTCTCCTACCTGAGTCTGTGTGAAAAAATAAAAATATTACAAAGTAAAATCAAGCAGTTAATTAAAAATAACAGACTCAAGGACAAAGAACTCTTCAAGTTCATCAGAAAAACTACTCAGTGTAAAAGTGGATAAATAGGTTCATATGCAATTCCCAGGAAATAAAATGCAAATGGAGTAACCACATAAAATATTCTCAAGTTCATTATGACCATGAAAATGAAAATTAATTACCATACAAATAATATTCCTTCATATCATATTGATGACAATAAAACATTTTTAGAAAGCTAAACGTTTGTGAGAATGTGAAGGAAGAAGTTACACACTGCTAAAAGTATGCTGGAAAAAAATTTAGGATATCTGGTAAAAGTGCACATACTCTAAAACCAAGAAATTCTATAATCAGGTGTGTGTCAGATATTTTCTAGGCTATGTGTATATCAATGTTCTCCTTTTACAAATAAAGTAACCAAAGCCTAACTCTTTTTACTATTAATATATATAAAATTACTTAGAATAGTTTGTAGTATATATTAAGGATTATATAATAATATATAGTTATCTATGATCATCCTCATCTTCATCATCAATAGTCAGTTGTAGATGAAATTTTATTAATTAACATCATTAATATTGACAAACACATTCTAGGTGATCATCATTGGGTCTCCGGAGCAGTATTCTAACAGTCGAATTAAAAACCTGCTAATATTTAACCAGACGATGAAGTTTGGAGGACATTCCTTCTTCTCCCACCCAGAGCCACGCTCGTGCGTGCTTCCACAGTGACAGTCTGACCTTTTGAAACTTGGAGATCATACTTTGATCCTTGAAAACGCCCCACCGCCTTCCCAGAGGCTGCCGGTCTCCACGTTCGCGTTCTACCTGGTAGAATCCCTTGACAGTTTCAGTACCTGGCCGCCAAGGCTTTGGGAGTTAACGCCTACCTGGACGGGAGGCACTGGGGAGAAGAGAGGGAAGGCTCTGAAACCCAACCGAGAAGGCGGGCTGGGGGAAGTCACTTCTGGAAAGAGGTTTTCTCGGGTGCCAGCACCCGGAGAGAGCTACTCCGGGGCCAGGCAAGCATCCCGCCTAGGCTCCCTAGTGCATATTAGTGAGTGACACGACGGTGACAGGACACAGAAGTGTCAGATGACAGCTGCGCCTGGCGCGCAAGGTGGTCCATTTTATTTTTGGTAGCTAGACGCCAGTAGGACGCACCACTTCAGCTCTAAACTGGAACTGGTGGTCCCAAGATGTTTTCTGTTCTTTTTCATTTTTTTGAGACAGGGTCTCGCTCTGTCGCCCAGGCTGGAGTGCAAAGGCGCGATCTCAACTCATCGCTACCCCCTCCTCCTGGGTTTGAGTGAACCTCCCACCTCAGGCTCAGTAGCTGGGACCACAGGCACGAGCCACCACGCCGGCTAATTTTTATATTTTTTGCAGAGACAGGGTCTCGGTATGTTGCCAAGGCTGGTCTCGAACTCTTGGCCTCAAGTGATCCGCCCGTCTCGGCTTCCCGAAGTGCCCTACTGGCGTGAGCCACCGCGCCGGTCTGCCTCCAAGATTTTCGTTGCAAGGATGGAATGGTCGCTTCTGTGCGGATCCTCCAAACCATCGTTGGGAGAGGCCTCCTTAAAGTCTGGGAGAAAAGTTGTTTCGGGTGGATATGAAAGTAAGGCAAAGCCGGAAAGAGGAGAGTAGCCGAAACAAGCAAAGTGATCGCGATGGGTTTAGGAAAGGTGATCTGGCGTGCTAAATGGCGTTTCCGGAGAAATCCGAAAACGATTGCTTTACAAAAGTATACTAAAGAGCTGCCCTGGGTCTGGAAACCCCTTAAGGGATCAAAATGGATGCAATGGGTATCCTTCTCCAATGACACCCCTCACGGGCCGGGAGCCTGGCAGTTCGCCACCCGCTGCCTCCCTTTCCGCAGCCAGGCTAGCAGCCGCTCAGCTACCTCTAAAGCCCGGAGCAGGGAAGTCCGCGCAGGCCTGGACGCCCCGGGTGGTATCCTGCCTTCCCGCACACTGCGCATGCGCAGGGGGTGGACTGCCAGGTCGGCTCAGGGAGCCGTGACGAGTCCGGAAGCGCCTGCGCGCGCTCCTCGGTACGCGAACTAGTTTTGTTCCGTGCCCTCTGAACTGGAACCTTTCGGAGAGAACCCCCGGCAGGACCAACCCCGCACCCGCCAGCACCGCGGCAATGTCCAGCAACAGTTTTTCTTACAATGAGCAGTCCGGAGGAGGGGAGGCGACGGAGCTGGGTCAGGAGGCGACCTCAACCATTTCCCCCTCGGGGGCCTTCGGCCTCTTTAGCAGCGATTTGAAGAAGTGAGGAGAAAGGTTTGGGGTACGGGGATGGGAGGGAGGAGCTGGGGACTCGGAGGAGTGGGCGCCGGGTGGGCTCCCTGGAGTGGAGCGGGGTCGCCCTGAGATCTGAGCAGAGCTGGGCGGTAACGTGTCCCACTGGTGGGTGGGTGGGGTTGGTTGGCGGTGGTGGGAGTTGGGGGAGTTTGGGGCGTGTGTGTGTAGGGGTCTCTAGTAGTTTTCAAACTTTAGTGAAAAGGAAACCGCTTGGTGAGCTTAGATCCCACCCCTGAAGACACTGATTGAATTGGACTTGGTCTGGGCTCAGGAGTCTGAATTTTGAGCATGGTCTTCTAAGTTTATTTATCGTTCGCCGGATCAGACTTTGATACATTCCCTGATTAGGGTGAAACGAGTGTTTTGGTCAAGGTGAGAGTGCGAGTGTTGCTTGTGGGAAGTTATTTTGTGACCCCGGAGTGTAGGAGGAGAGAGGTGGGTTTAGGCTGTTTGAATGGACAAACTGGTTTATACCAGTATCAGTGTTCTTGGATTATATCCTTTGCACTACAGACAAAAACACCAATCCAAAATAAGCATATGAATAGAAAATATTTTAAGAGTGTTACTATGAACAAATCCTAAACTTTTACAAATTAATAATGTGAAGTTTAAAAACGAATGTTAAACAAGGTACACTTAGTTTTGTAAAAAGTATCACCGAGAAATGGAAAGAAATCCCAAGTTGTTTGTTTGGGGGGTGGGATGGTGGTATTGGGGTGGTGGTAGTGGTTAAATTTACCAGAATTATCAGTTTTACGTTTCTCTTATTTTAAATCTTTCATTACTAAGCAATATGGTCACATAATAGTCTGTCGCTAAATTCATGCTAAATTAAGGTAGAATAGCTGTGCTGGTAGCTTTGCAGATATGTTAGAGGGTATAATTAAAATTTAAATTAAACGTTACTAACAATATTGGGTAGTCTAGAAAGTGCTACTACTTGAAATTGGGATTACATTTTGGCTGTATTGAGGATCAAAATCATATAGATAGTACGTACGATACAATATTTTCGTTTCCTTTTTCCCAGGTTAGAAAAGTTTAAAAGTAAGGTAACTTTTCATTTTCATTTCATATAATTTTTCATTATATGCATTTGGTGATCCATTGTTCTAGAGCAAGAACGGAGCTTGTTGCCTTTACTGTTAGCAAAATGTTTAGACTGAATTAACCTGTAAATTGGCATCAATCTGTTTTGCAAATTAATTTACTTTTATGGTTTGTGAACACCCCGTGAGGGGTGTCATTGGAGAAGGATACCCATTGCATCCATTTTGATCCCTTAAGGGGTTTCCAGACCCAGGGCAGCTCTTTAGTATACTTCTGTAAAGCAATAGTTTTCGGATTTCTCCAGAAACGCCATTTAGCACGCCAGATCACCTT